AAAAAAAAAAAAAAAAAAAAGAATTTTTCTTTGGACTAGAACTGTCTCTTTATTCATCTCTTTCTCTGTCCACACTGAGTTTCTCAAAGGTGGAGACTATATGATTTATTTAACAAACGTGTATATGGAACTAGCTCTTGGCCATGCTGCAAGCTAGGCATGGGGGCTAAAAGATACCTCCAGGGGTGCCTGGCGCAGTCAGTTAAGTGTCTGACTTCGGCTCAGGTCATGATCTCACAGTTCTCAGGTTTGAGCCCCACATCAGGCTCTGTGCTGAATGCTTGCTCAGAACCTGGAGGCTGCTTCAGATTCTGTGTCTCTTCTCTCTGCCCCCCCCCCCACCCTGCGCTCATGCTCTGTCTCATTCTGTCTCTCAAAAATAAGTAAGTGTAAATTTTTTTTAAAGATACCTCCAGGATATTAGAAGAGGGAAAGGCAATTTGAGTGGAGAGTATCAAGCAGAGTTTGTTGGATGAGGTAATGACACTTGAGTCTTAAAGAACAAGTAGTACGGACATTCATGCCTAGTGCCTGGAACAGAATAGGGAAGCTTTCAACTGCTGTTTGCTACATACATCAGTGAGTGACAATCTACAGCTCTACAAGACTCTAGTTTTATGATTCTACCAAACCCAACAAAGACCTTTCCAGAAGAACATTTTTTTTAGTTTTATTTATTTATTTGTTTTGAGAGAGAGAGAGAGACAGAGCAAGCAAGGGAGGGGCAGAGAGAGAGAGAGAGAGAGAGAGAGAGAGAGAGAATTCCAAGCAGACTCGTCACCGGCAGAGTACAGTCCAATGCAGGGCTTGAACCCACAAACTGTGAGATTGTGACCTGAGCCAAAACCAAGAGTTGGATGCTTAACCAGCTGAGCCACCCAGGCACCCCAAGGAGAACATTTCTAACCAACATGTAGCTTGTCTGCAAACATGGGCCTGCTCTTGTGATTTGAACTGTGAGTCACTTGGGGCTTTGTAGGCCCCAACACAATCCCTACATGATCCTGTGCACATCCTAAACATTAAAGACTATGGGACCAGTGATTCGCTTTCACTCTCAGGAAAGTAATTCTATTCTAAGGACATTATACATTCCTGGGAGTGTCATGTATTGGGGCAATTATCCATTATGTGGCTGACACATTACCAGAACCATGAGAAAAGGATTAGAACAATGTCCTAAATGTCTCCTACACCCTTTAAATCTCTTGCTATGACATTCACACAATAAAATATCACTAATTTGGACACATTCCATCAGTGACATGTGCAGGCTAATTTTTCCTGGCCTGCGCCCACCTGAAACTTGGCATCTTCCGTAAAATGATTGTTTGTAAGGCAAACTGAGACAGTGAATTTAATTACAGAAGATATATTTAACACAGTGTGGACTTACTTAATGCTAACTGCAAGTGAATCATATCATTCTGTACCTATGCCTTGATCCTATCACTTAGAAGCATTCTTTAGCTATGATTCTTAATTACACTTTAAATGTATTGGAAAGAAGCTAAAAGGTAGTATTTTTTTAAGTTTGTTTGTTTGTTTATTTGTTTGTTTGTTTGTTTATTTATTTATTTATTTATTTATTTATTTATTTTGAGAGAGAGATAGAGTGTGAGTGGAGGAGGGACAGAGAGAGAGAGACAGAGAATCCACACTGTCAGTGCAGAGCCCAGTGCAGGGCTCGATCTTACGAACCATGAGATCATGACCTGAGCTGAAATCAAGAATCAGACACTTAACCAACTAAATCCCTAAAGATGCCACCTAAAAGTGCCCCTAAAGGCAATATTTTAAAAAGTTCTAGCCAGCTAAATTAGGCCAGTCTGCTCTCTTATTTTTCAATTAGTGAAATTTCATTATATTGTTTCTATGCAGACATTTTATAACTTAGTATCATAATACAACTTAAAAGATCTTTAAAGTTATTTTAATGTTTTCTCAAGCTCCAAAACCTTTTATTGGGAATATACTATGAGCCAAGGACTTTGCTAGATGTGGAGGATTCAAACAAGAACAACATGGTTGCAGCTCTGTAGCCAAGATGAATTGAACTCTATGGGAATATCAAAGAAATAACACCAAATAACTGTTTGAAGGAGTAAGAGAAGCTATCAGAGAGTGGCATTTGAGCTATGTTCTTGTGAGGTAGAAAATAAGGAATAGGTTTTCTAGGGCCTTGGACAGAATTGCAAAGGGTTGAATCTGAAAAGTGTGGACTAGAGCTTAGGGCAATGAGGAAGATGAGAGAGTGACTGTAGATGGGGTTGGAAAGTAGGTGTGTGAAGGGTGTTGAGAAGTTTGGAATACATCCTAAGGGCACCAGAGAGTCAATAGCCTGTTATCATGAGGCCTTGCCCCATGCCTGGTAGGGTCACACAAAATCTGGAAGAGGTTATAACAAGAATCCATAGTTCATGAGATGTGTTTCTTGGCTAAGCCAAATCTCCTGTTTGTTTTAAAAAACTTGATTTTATTTGAAAACACTGAAAAGAAGGCAAAAGTATTTCTAATAACCCAACATGAAGAAAATTTATAAAGTATAAAGTAAAAGTCTCCCTAATGACTTTCTTCCCATCCCTAGATTGATAGATATCATTCCTGACCTTTTCCCGTGTTTATATAAATATTTCTGTTTAAATATGTATACACACACGCCATGACCCTGCCCAATGGAATCATGTGCTATATTTATTCATTCATTCAGCAAATACTTACTGAATGCTTACTATATATCAGAGCAATATTCAAGCTACTGAGAATGTAATACCAAGAGTTGATATTCTAGAGGGCAACACATGACAATAAGCACATGATTGTGCTTTCAAATAAAGGTAAGTTCTAGGAAGACAAGTGAAACACAAAGAGTACAATATGATGAGAGGGACTGAGAAATCCTTGCAATTGTGAGGTCAGAGGTGGATTCTCTTGTGAAGGGGATGATTTGAGCTGAGACCTGGAGGATATTGAGAAGTATACGTGCTGAGGGCAGACTGCCCCCAAAGGGGCCACTTTGGCATGAACCTTGAGTTAAAACCAATCAAAACCCAGCAGATTCAGGAAACACTCTTTACCTCCCCTCAACTGCCTGCTTTTATCAGGAAGAGAATTATTAATGAAGATAGCTAAGAAGCTTATCAACATAATAGGGCAACTTTGCTTTGTAAACATCTCTCACCTTCCGGATAATGGTCTTTTCCCCATTTGTATCCTCAGATTCCCACCCTTCTCCTTAGCTCATAGAAGCATCATGCTGCCTCATGATCTTTGGAATTTCAGTGTCCCCAGATGTATGCTGTTAAAATTGATTTTCTCCTGTTAATCTGTTTCATGTCAACTTGTTTCTTTTCAAACAATTTTTTTTTAATTTTTATTTTGAGAGAGACAGAGACAACACAAGTGGGGGAGGGGCAGAGAGAGAGGGATACTGAATCTCAAGTAGGCTCTGCACTGCCAGTGCAGAGCCCAACATAGGGCTCGAACACATGAAAGTGTAAGATCATGACCTGAGCTGAAACCAAGAGTGAGAAGCTTAACCGAATGAGCCACCCAGGTGCCTCTGTCAACTTGTTTCTTAGTCCAGCTAGAAGGACCTTTAGGGGAAAAGGAAATTCTTCCTCCCTGACAGCATCATCCTGATCTGGTATCTTCCAACCCCCAGTCCTAGAGGGTCACATTAGAGAGCTCTAAATAGTGGTGTAATTGCACGACAAGGTTTTCTTTTTCTTTTTTTCTTTTCTTTCTTTCTTTCTTTCTTTCTTTCTTTCTTTCTTTCTTTCTTTTTCTTTCTTTTTTCCTTCTTTCTTCTTTTCTTTCTTTCTTCTTTTCTTCCTTCCTTCTTTTCTTTTTTTCCTTTTCTTTTCTTTTCTTTTCTTTACAAAAGAAAAGTCATCAAAGTAGAAGATAAAAGTGTTAAGGAGAAAATTAACAGTTTCCGTAAGTCCACCAACCAGAAATATTGTTAATATCATTTTTAATTTCTGTAATTAAATGTTAATAAAATTAATATTTGTAATAATTTCAATATTTCTCTATGTTTTTACATAATTGGGGCTATACTGTATATTCTATTTTGTATATAAATATAAATTTTTTTGCATATATTAGGTTCTATTATCAATTCTAGTGGTGGTGATTCCTGAAGGGCTATATGTCCATTCCAGATACATATTTGTTCTTTAAAAACAGCAAGTCCGGGAAATGGGATTAGAACACAGTCTGAGTATCTTGAGAATTCTGCATGTGCCCACAACTGTTTTTGCTAACTGACCACACTGATGGATTTAACTTTGACTTCTCAGGTTAAGATTCCATTCTTCTGAGATTTTCTTATATCTGGATTTAACCTATGACTAAATCTTTTTTCCATAAGAAATGCTGCAAAAATTGCAGGCATGATAAGACCCACAGATGAGGAAGAGTGAAACCTGGACTACTCCATGTCAAGGTTCACCATGACAACTGCTCTCTGGAAGAAGCTTCTCTATCTGTAAACATAGATGGTGCCTACAAGGACAGAATTACCAGGGATGATTCAGGAGGAAAGAGCAGATGGAGAGAGAGTCAACATATTCAGCTTAGAATCTGAGCCAAGATGATTCATACAAAGGAAGACAGCCAAGATGTGACAGGGGAGGAGATAATGGGATAAATCCTAATCAGGCAAAGGACACAATGTTTTCCATCCAACTTGGAAAATGTAATTACCTAATTAAACGATTGCTTACTTGTTAGGGTAAACAGTAACATGGAAAGAGGTCCCTCAGCAGGGTGTAAAAGGGGGCCTGGAGCAAGAAGTCTTCTAGATTCAAGGAATACACTCTTCTGGAAACCCAACCAGAGCCTCTGCCCTCTGACACCATGGTCAACTCCTGTTGTGGCTCCATCTGCTCTGACCAGAGCTGTGGCCACGGCCTCTGCCAGGAGACTTGTTGCTGCCCCAGCTGCTGTCAGACCACACACTGCAGGACCACCTACTGTTGCCTCAGCTGCTGTGTGTCCAGCTGTTGCCACCCCTCTTGCTGCCAGACCACCTGCACCTGCTGCCGCCCCAGCTGCTATGGCAGTTCTTGCTGCTGAACATCCTGCTCTGGACTGGAACCTCCTTGCCCCCATCCTTCAGTCCAGGAAGAAAGCATCTAATTTAACAAAACACATGGCACTTCCTGATGTCATGAACTTACAAACAGACCCATGGACTGATCTGGAAACCTCTGGTCTCTATGTCACTTATTCTCTTATGTAGAAATACCTTATTGCCAAATGAATCAGAATTTATGGTCAGATTATGCAGCTGATTTTTCAGAATTTCTAATTCTGATTCTAAATATAAAAGTCTTTAAATGTTCCTCTTCTAGGTTTTTTTTCTTTCCGATGTTTCTCAATGGAATCTATGTTCATGTGGAATTTCTTGAGGCTCCCAAATAAAACTTTTTAGTATTGGAAGGCACTGATATTGCTCATCTCTCATTATTTCTTATTAATGAAATGTTCAATGCATATTGCTCTTTTTCATGTGACATAGGAGCACATATTCTCAGGGGACCCTACAACAGAAAAATTAAACTGGTACTCACCAATGAGATTTTTTTTTTAATTTTTTTTCAACGTTTTTATTTATTTTTGGGACAGAGAGAGAGCATGAACGGGGGAGGGGCAGAGAGAGAGGGAGACACAGAATCAGAAACAGGCTCCAGGCTCCGAGCCATCAGCCCAGAGCCTGACGCGGGGCTCGAACTCACGGACCGCAAGATCGTGACCTGGCTGAAGTCGGACGCTCAACCGACTGCGCCACCCAGGCGCCCCACCAATGAGATTTTTATCCAGGTCACAATTAAGTGTTAGCTCTGCTAACAAGAAAAGGTTTAAAGGGAGGCATCTTTGAACCTAATACATATAACATGAGAGCTATGGATTACAACTGCCAACAAAAAAGAGTCCTTAGAAAACTATAATCCATGAATTGATTTAAACCAATTTAAACAGAGGCAGCTCAGTGTAGATAGCCCACGGACTTGGGAATTAGACTTAGGTCTGAATTTTGACTGTACCACATACTAACTGTGGCCTTGGACATGTTACTTAAACTCTCAAATTAGGATTGCTTTTCTCCAAAGAAAGGATGATGATACACACCTATAAAATTGTCACACACCATTAATCATCAGGGAAATGCAAATCAAAATCACAATGAGATATCACCTGATACCTATTAGGATGGCTATTATTAAAAAAAAAAAGACAAGTGTTGATAGGGATGTTGAGAAAAGGGAATTCTGGTACACTGTAGGTGAAAATGTTAAGTTGGTACAGCTATAATGGAAAACAATATGGAGGTTCCTCAAAAATTAAAAAACAGGGGCTCCTAGGTGGCTCAGTTGGTTAGGCATCTGACTTCATCTCAGGTCATGATCTTGTGGTTTGTGAGTTCGAGCCCCTCATTGGTCTCTGTGCTGACAGCTAAGAGTCTAGAGCCTGCTTCAGATTCTGTGTCTCCCTCTTTCTTTGCCCCTCCTCTGCTCTCTCTCTCTCTCAAAAATAAATAAACATTAAAAAATTAAAAAATTAAAAAACAGAACTACCATACAATCCAGCAATCCCATTTCTGAGTATGTATCCAAAGTAATTGAAGTCAGAACCTCAGAGGAATACCTGTACTCCAATGTTTATGGCAATAATATTCACAATAGCCAAGATATGGAAACAACCTAAGCATTCATCTATAGATGAACAGATAAAAAAATAGTGTATATATAGAATGGAGTATTATTCAGCTTTAAAAGGAGGAAATCCTGCCATTTGCAACATGGGTGGACTTGGAGGACATTATGCTAAATGAAATAAGTCAAATACAGAAAGACAAATACTGCATGATCTTACATGCATAAAATAATCAAACTCAATAATCAAATAGAAGCAGGGAGCAGAATGGTGATGCCAGGGGCTGAGGAAAGGAATAAATGGGAAGATGCTGGTCAGAGTACAAAGTTTCAGTTATGCAAGATAAGTAACTTCTGGATATCTACTATATAGCATAGTGCTGACAGCTGACAATACTGTTTTATATACTTAAAATTTTCTAAGAAGGTATATCTTAAGTGTTCTTACACTTAAGATACACTTAAGTGTTCTTACACTTGTTTTAAAATTTTTTAAAACATTTTTTAAAACTCTATGTGTCTGACTTCAAGGCGGCAAACTAGAATTTTCAAATTTTATCTCATACCTACAAGAATCTCTTCATTTCTCAAATATATATTTTATTGATTGAAGGAAAAAAGACAGTTGTGACAAAGATTTAATGAGATAAAGGTACATGGTAGACAAATAAAAGTATGCTCCCTTTTACCTCCGCTGAGCTTTATTTTACATTTTATTTTGAAATAACTATAGGTTCACAATAAGTTGAAAAACAGTACAGCAAAATTCTGGGTACTCTCTATCCAATTTCCCCCAATGCTCACTTCTTATAGAATTATAGTACACACCAAAACTCAGAAACTAACATTAGCACAATCTACAGAACTTGTTCAGATTTTACCAGTTTTAGGTGCACTTGTATGTGTGAGCCTGGGTTTTTAGCTTGGTTGTGTCAACTTGGAAATTAGGGCCAGGGCATAATGGCCATGAAAAAAAAAAAAAAAAAGAAGCACCGTAAAGAATTTGATTGATTAGACTTATAGGTCCCTTATGGTAGAAAGGAATCCTCAAAGTCATTTCACCCAATCTCCTCCATCTGGTTCACGAGTCTTCCTCTGCAACACCAGCTTACACTTAAGTCCCCCTGCTATGTATGGAGGAAGCCATTCCATAAAACTTTATGGTGAGTATAATTTTTTTTTTTCTCTATGAGCCACCCACTTATCCTGTGTCAGCCCATGACATCCATTTGGGGCAAGTCCAATCTCTCACATACAGCTCCTCCATGCTGCACAGCCATGCCTTTGCTCCAGTTTTCTTTTCTTTAGGCTAATTTTCCCAAGTTTTTTCACCTGCTCTTCATTGATCACGATGTCACCATCTTAGCAATTTTGCTTTTAATATACCGCAATTTATCTCTATTATTCTAAATGTAGGCAAGAACTGAACACATTTTCAGATGTGTTCTGAATGCTCAGAAAGGAGTAGAACTGTGTCTTCTTCCTTTTAAAATACCACACTTGCGTTAATGTATTAATGTCTGCATTCAGCATTTAATGGCACTAAATGTGGACTTGTACTGAGGTTACAATATCATGTAAACACCTATGTCTTTTTCATTACAAACTGCTTCAATCTATGCTTATAGATGTCCAGTGCTTATCTGAAGAGCAGCAATTCTGAATCTCTTTTGCTACCCAATACCACTAGTAACATGGCTCATTCTGGTAATATTATACCCAAGGAAGAGCTGCTAAGGGTACATACAACCTTAGGATATGTAGGCAGTTCAAATAAATTCTCCCAAGAAGTTTAGATATATTTACTCCTCCTCGATCCCATGTGCCATGTTGCATTGGTAACTACTCTTTTAGATCTAAGAAAGGCTCTGAGATTTCCTTGTGCTAGATTTTGCCTTTTATGCTAGGACGTCCAAGTCACTTGGAATCATGATTCTGGCATTCAATATATTCAATCTTTCCCAACTTCATGATTTGATAAACATATTTTATGGAAAGACTCAACAAAGTTGAGATGTCCATGGTTCCATTTTCAGAAAGACCAGTCCAAGAATGGAATGACTACTCAAAAACCATCCTAAAGTTGAAAATGACATATATTTGGAAGAACGTAATTCAAAGACAAGGTTTTCCAGTGTTCTCCTCATTCTCTGGGTTCCCTTGTTCTCCACGGGGAAAATGTATTTGAAGAGCCAGCTGATGAACTGGCAGTGCCCCTATTTTTTTGAAACACTAGTCTGCTAGTCATTTGGTTGGGAATTTTGTAACCTTTAAGCTTTTACTCCATCCCACTATGAATCAATAGGTTGGTGTTGTCTAACCTGGATATTCATTTTATGTCTCCTTTCTTGGAAATAAAGACCTAGAAAGTGAAATCTGATCAACAATTTAAGTAATGAAGCAGAAAAATATAAGGTATCTTCAGAGCCCAGCAATTTAAAGAGACAGCAAGATGGTAAGATATGAATTACAGTAAAAGGCAAGGACACTGGGCAATCTAACTTGTATTGACAAGTAAATCTTGGAGACAGAGATAAGTCAACATGCCCTGACAAAGACAGAAAAACAAGAAGTCAAAGTCAGAAGAAAAGTCAGCCCAACAAAGCAGAAGTTAAGGTACTTGAAACTTATGATACAGGTAGATAGAGGGCTTCTATCTCTGCAGCTGACTTCCCCTAAGAAGCCCTAAAGCTGAGTTCTGGAGGTTTGTTTGTGGAGAAAAATGAAATACCACCTCACATCTGTAACACCCCACCAAAGATAGCAAGTATTGGTGAGGATGTGGAGAAATTAGAACCCTTTTACGCTGTTGGGATGTAAAATGGCATAGCCACTATGGGAAACAGTATAGAGGTTCCTAAAAAATGAAAAATAGAACTATTGTATAAATCAGCAACCCTACTTTTGGGTATATATCTGAAAGAGGTGAAATCAGGATCTGGAGGAGGTATCTGCACTCCCATGTTTATTACAGCATTATTCACAATAGTGAAGATATAGAAATAACCCATATGTCCACTGACAGACAAATGGATTTAAAAAATATGAAATAGCCACATAATGGAATATCATCACCCTTATAAAAATAAGGAAATCCCATTATTTGCAGCAATATGGATGGACCTAGAAGACATTAGGCTAAGTGAAGTAAGTCACAGAAGGACAAGTAAATACTGCATGATTACACATAAAATCATCAAGTCCATAGGAGCACAGAGTACAATGGTGGTTTCCAGGGAGGAAGAGGAAATGGGTAGTTGTTTAATGAATATAAAATTATACTTATACAGGATGAGTAAGCTTTAGAGATTTACAGAACAACAATGTACATATAGCTCACAATACAACAGGGTGCACTGACAAACTTGTTAAGAGGGTAGATCTCATGCTAAGTGTTCTTACCACACATAACATGCAGAGCAAGAGGA